CCCCGCCCCACCCCTCCCCCCCCACTCTTTACGTTGAATTATTGAATTGTTTAACTGAAATATATAATAACCTTGAAATTTGTACAATTTTTTGAGGCAATTTTGACTTCCGACATATAAAGTTTCATCAACTTCAAAGTTGCCATTCTTTTGTGGAGATTTTGGGGATTACCAGCTAGAATTGCACAAGAGTGTTTTGAAGCGATCTACTGACGCGGCCTCAAATTTTATAGAAGATTTACGGAAGAGCAAAGCAGAGTGTAGAAAGAAACATCTACCACCCAGTGAATAGCATAGTATTTCACATTATTTATTATTTAATAATTTCATAGTATTTGCCTTTGATGCCTCAAATATTTATTTATTTATAAAAAAATGGCAGGGGTTTTGATAGTTATCATTAGCCCTTTAGTTGACTTCAGGCTTCACAGAGGAGGAGGAACATCAAAGTGAAATAAGTCGAGAGGGGGGGGGAACAGAAGAATGTTTCAAAGATGTAAAAGAGGCAGACACAAAGGTAGAAAAAAGGTGAGGCGAGTAATGTGGAAGCAGTCATATATGATATACAGCGGGGTCATGGTAGTTTGAAGTCAACTGCCGAATAATAGACTTTTTTTGCCGTATGAGTATACGTTGCCCAGGGTGCACCACTTGGAGGTAAGTCTATCGCACACTCCAGCCTATCAAATACCCGTTTCTGCTAGCTTACATCCATTTGAAGTAACCTGAGTAAAACAACCACCTCCCCACACCCCACCCCACGTCCTACACCGTAAATTCCAGAATTATTGATCGATGTACCTGTTCTTAACTCACATTTACACCACCTCTTTTTACTAAAACACCTTCCATCCTGACGTATGGCACGAATCAACCTAGATTAGAGGTTGAGTTAATTTAAATAAGTTCAACACAAAGATTAAATGGCATGTGAGCAAAGTCAGCTGTCACATAACCGATGCTCAAATAACAGCTACGTCAACTGCCACTGCTAAATTGCGCACGGAAAATTTATTTCAAATGGCGGGCTTTATGACACTTATCATTAGCCCCTTAGCTGACTTCGGGCTTCATAGAGGGGAGGAGGAACATCGAAGTGAGAAAAAGTGAAGAGGGGGGGGGGACGGAAGAGTGATTCAAAGATGCTAAAGAGACAGACAAACAGACACAAAGGCAGAGAAAAGTTAAGATGAGTACTGTGGAAGTTGTGGAATATGACATACAGTGGGGTGATTGTAGTTTGAAGTGAGAAGTCAACTGCCGGTTTATGGACTTTCTTGCCGTATGAGTATACGTTGCCCAGGATGCACCACGTGAAGGTAAGTCTATCGATTTCCCAAATAGGACACTGAAAATTTCTTAACAAATATGTCATTTTTTAAAACTAAGCTTAACACACTTATCCTGTTTCTTCTTAAATACTTATTAACTATCGCGAATACTCCGGTTCATCCTTACGCATAACTTGAAATGACACACTCAAACAAAAATATTGAATTCTTCAATCTAGATTGAAACTTTGCCACTTACAAATGAGCAAGTAAATAGGGCAATCCTTTGTGTGGCTCCGAATACTAAGCCATAGTTAATTCAATTGGTTATATGGATTAGTTGCCTTGATCTGAAAACTAACTTTTTGTGCATGTGTCTTCCATGACCTATGTCGACCAATTCAAACATCCTCTAGCTAAATCCTTCCGCATAGTCTTGGTCAAAGATCGCCTAATCCGCATCAAGGGTAGCAAGAGCATAGAACGCAATGAATAAAAGTCACTGATGTGTCTCCACTCGTCTCGAAATGTCTTTTTTTAATCACTATCTGGTACACCAGCAAGCGTTTGTAATAAGTAAGGTGAACCATCGCACAACTTAGACATGAAGTGCTATTAGCACTAGGCTATGTTGCAACGAATATTGATCGCTGATTGGCTGAGAGATTTCTGCACACTCGTACTACACTTACTCTCCATGCAATCATTTTCAACTTCCAAAATGTTCTCTCTCGCGCGCATGAGATTTCTTTGATCATCTTTGGTGTTAGCATGGACCAATGGGAAGCTAGTACCGATTAATTGCACAAAATCTGTAAAATATCAAAAGCGTAAACCATTTTGGCGTGTAGACATCCAGTCTTTTGGATTTTTAGGAATGAAATTTAGAATACATTTTCTGCTTTTAATACTTCTAACACCAGGAATCTATGCACAGTCAAATGCGAAAGCTGT